ACTCTTGGATGTAGTGTAAAAACAGTAGCCATAGATCAGATGTACACAAATGACTGTGACTTATTTACTTAGAACTTTGTGGATAAAATACGCAGTGAGCCTTGCTTTGCTGATACCTGATCTGTATCAGTCCTCTGATTATATGAACAGTGCTGTGGTAAACCAGAGAGACAAAGTGAAGTTGCCGAAGGTATTACAACTAGTTAAAGGCAGCACAGCTGTAGAGCTGAATTCTCTTCATACTTTGTTCTGGGATTTATATTTTTACACATTTGCTCTCTTTAGACCCCTCCAAACAAATCCCCATTACTCTTGTGTTTTTGACAACCATATCCTTTTTGTTGGTACAGACACTATTAACTCCGTAATACCTTGAAGGTCAAATCAAGAGGACTTTCCTTTCTCATTTCTAAAGACAAGAACAATCTTGGTGCTCTCCAGCTATTGGGACAAGGGAGCCCTCATCCTTTTTTCTCTCACATCTAGAATGTTAACATTGCAAGCAGAAAAATCCTTTAAGCTTCTCTAGATTCTGGCAGAATATATTTCTGATTTATTTGCAGTTCCCAAAATGCTCTACGATGTTTTCCCTGGCATAATGAAGCCTTTGGCCATCATTGCTACTTTGAAAATCAAAGCCTTTTGGTCTCTAATGGAATGTTTATAAAAATACTCCATTTTGAGATTTGCTCAGGAAAAGGAAGTATGGTAAATGATGTTAGAAATCCCTCTGGCTTGCCTTAGCATTGATTCATTTAATGTTATGTACTCTGGAAATATCTGGAATTAGTGTGAATAAGAGAGTATTAAAAATCAAAGATAAATAACTTTCTATCCCTATTGTCTTTTTCCATAATAGTATCATAACTATCTTTAATTAACTGATACTTCTATGATAAAGTAAATTTTTCATTGGTAAGTTTTATATATATATATATATATGGCAAATAAACTAAAAGTCCACTGATAACTTATGTCAGAAGTCTAATCTATTTTCATTCTTTTGCTAAAGTGAAATTGTATGATTTTTAGGGGGTTGAACAGTATAGAATGACATGATTTTAGGTAAAAAGATACAGATATATGTGTCAATTTCTGGTTTTCTTGGTAACATCAAAGAACATAGACAGTCACATCTTATGTGTATTTTATTTAGTAATATGGTAACTCTCAGATAAGTGCAGTATAAAAAGAGGTCTCTGTCTTATCCTACGATGTTAGCTTTCTCTTGACATAGTAAGAAGACAGTAAGGTATCTTAAGGTAAGAAATTTATTTATATAACACATAGTTAATGAACTGCTGTATATCAGGAATTGTACTAGGGATCTGTCAGTTACTATAAGGCAGTCAAGATCCCTGTTTTCATCGAGTTTATATTCTAATAGGGAAGAAAGACAGCAAACCAATTACAAGGATTAATGAATTAATTGATTAGCTTCCTGCCTTTTGCTTCGATTTCAGTTAGTTTGCGTACCAGCAGAATTCCTTATTAACATGGTAAAAAGGAATGTCTCATTGTTGAAAGTGTTAAGGCCTTCTCCCCCACCTAATTACTGTCAAGTCAGAACTAACTCAAAACTGACCCTTCAGCAGGCTTTCTGAGGCTGTAAATCATATGGGAGGAGAGTGTCCAACTCTATCCCTTGGAATCATTGCCAGAGAGGTTCTCCTTTGGGTTAGCAGTACGACGACCTATGGACAGCACCACCAGAGCCCCTGTTACACAGACCTGCAAGGTATAGGAGCGGAACTGCCAGGAGCAGTAACAGCCTAGCTTGGCAGTGACTTCTCGTGCTTGCTTTTCTCTTGCATGGCCTTCCTTGCTGGTCTTTATTATTGGTTTGGTTTTTGCTTGTTTTTTTTAAAACAAACAAAAAAATAAAAAACAAATACCCAAAACCTAAGAGGAACTAGAACATCTTAAAATTACATGTACAAAAAAAAAATTAATATGTACAGAAACTAAATTTTTATAAAAACTGGTAGGGAGAACAGTAATGTGCTCAACAGCTAACCGGAAGGTTAACAGTTCAAGCCACCCATTACTGCTTAGAAAATCCTGTGGGGAAATTCTGCTCTGTTATGGGGGTAGCTGTGAACTGCAATTGACTTGATGGCACCTAACAACTTTTATATATTTTTTTTTTGGTGAACAGTCCTTATTTTGCACTGCCCTTTCCATTTGTAAGCCTCTGTATTCTTAAGGACATCCTTTGGTAACAAATAGCTTATCTGATATCATAGCTTGATTTGGAGTTGTTTTTTTTTTATCTGAAGATATGATGTCTTTATTAGAAAAGTTGCACTAGAAAAGACCCATGTATTTATTTAATGCAATTGACATTAAATAAACACGATGCACCATTTTATCATTCAGGTTCATATGAACTATTTAAAAATTATTTCTATCAAGAGTTCACAAGCATTTTACTGCACACACGTAAAGGCCTTTATTCATTGTCTAAAGTTCTCTTGCTGAAACTGTATTGATATCAAACACTACCTCTGTAAGCAAAAGCATTTTTTTGACAAAAAAGAAAACCTCATCATTCATTTAACCAGGTACTTATAGCAGTAAATTTTATCCTTAAAATGAGGAGGATTCTAATTGGAGGAGCTTTCCGTTTTCCTACTGTTACGGTGTTTGCTTTGTTTTTTTAGAAGTTGGAGTGTGTTCTCTCTGGGAAATCAGTTAATTGCAGTGAGTAGATCAATATTCGGCAATCATGTCTTTTAAGACCCTTTCTAACCCTGAGATTTTTATCATTCTATATTTACCATCTCATTCACACATTGCCGTCAAATTGGAACCAACTCACAGCTGACCTTCTATTGAGGTTTCTGGGCTCGTAAATGACACAGGAGGAGATTTCCCATCTTTCTCCCATGGCTTCTTGAAACAGCCAGAGAAGTGCAACCTTTGTGTTAGCAGCACAGCTCATCTTCCTATGGACTGTAGCACCCGAGCTCCCTCTATTTACCTTCCACTCTGCTCTTTTCCTTCAGTGACAGGTGAGCAGGATCATGTTGAGGTGAGCTGACAAATGAGATTGGGCTGGGGTTTAGGAGGTGAAAGATTTAAGTGAGAGTCATAGAGCATATTATGGTTATGCTAAGAGTTGCAATTACTTTTGGCTCCTTTTGCTTTTTTGTAGGTTTTTTTTAATAATACATGGTCTTAGAAGCCATGTTGGCAAGTATTTTCCTGAAAGCAGACAACTCCTATTCTTTGAGATGGGTCAATGTTCAAGTAATCAAAAAAGATGATTGCTGTTGTTATGTGACGTAGAGTTGCCTGTGACTCATAGCAACAGCTCTGTGTACAACAGCTCTGAAGCCTGCCCTGTCCTGAGCCAGTCTTACTGACTCTGACACACCTATTCCCCATTGCCCAAAGGGCAATGTACTGTTACAAATCCATCTCATCAGGGGTCTTCCCCACTGTCTCTCCACCTTCCTAGCATGATGTCTTTCTCCAAGGACCAGTTCCTCCTGCCCACATGCCCAAAGTATGTTGAGACAAAGCTTCAAACTCCTAGCTTCCAAGAAGAAACTTGGTTTCACTCTCTCTAGGACAGATCTCTTTGTTTTCTTGGCGGTCCATGATATATGTTCAAGACTCTTCTCCAGCACCACAACTTAAAGGCATTGATTCTTCTTGTCATACTTAGTCATTGTCTAGCTCTCTGATGCATAGCAGGTAATTGTGAAGACCATGGCCTGGATCAGGCACACCTTTTTCTCTAGACTGACATTGTTGCTTTTCAGTACTCTGAGAAAAGGGAATTTTCAAAGAACTTAGGGTGAGAAGTATAGTTCTTAGGGAATTTACTGTTCCCGCAGAAGCTGAGCCTCTCTGGCAATCATAATTCACCAGAAGCTCCACAGGAGACAGATGGACAGCCTCATAACCCCAATCAGCTATCATTCACTTCCACTCAAGAGCAGTGTGGGAGAATGTAAGGCGTGTGTTTTGATGTACAAGAAGCTGTTTTCTAAGAGATGGTATTTTCTTTTGTCATTAGATGAAATTTCAAGGAGACATATCTCTTGGCACTAGCACGGTTTTATCATCTTTAGACCCCCAAAACCAAATATACCACCTAACCCATACTAGGTGCTCAGAAACGATTTCCTGAACGGAACCCAGTACTCATTCTTGAGGGAATAACAAAAACAAGGTATCACGAATAAACAGAGTGCATTTTTTGATGTTCTCTTTTAGTCACTCCGGAATGTTCCCTTTCAGAAAATGTGAAAATGTTTTTATGAGCTGTGTATTGGAACCACAAGCACTGACTTTGTATTTCAAAGCTGGAAAAAAATGAGATTGATGTCCCATACAGTTGTAAAATGCCAAAAATAAGTAGAATTGAGATGAATTAAAGCCCAGAACTCAGAAAAACCAAGTAAAAGCGCCTGATCAAAGGTGGCTATAATTGAAAACGGGCCAAATAAGTATTTAAAACCACCCCTCCTGGGACTGCTAAGATTTCTGAATTTCAAATTGGCATTTTATGTTTGACAAGGTGACATTGTATAAGAAATGTATTGTAAAACACTGCTGGAAAATGATTGAATGTAAATATTTCAAGATGTAGACCACTGTTCAAATGTTATCATAAATCTTTGCCATTGGTTTAGGGGATAACTCTTCATGCATGTATGCACTGACTTGATAGCACTGGCCCTTGGAAGAGAAATTGTCAGCCAGTTTATCTGCTTCTGCCAGCACAAGTCAGATCTGGCACCAAATATCCTTTTAGACCTTTGCTTTTGTAGTATATGCGTTTTATTACATAAAGAAGATTATTCTTTGCTGATGATGTTATTATATCTGGCATTCTTCATTGATTGTTCATTGATCAATCTGAAATGTTCTGTTTTCTATGTGAAATGAAAATGTCTGAGACCGTTTATGCTCTTAAACTTTGAAAAAAAAACAAAGAAAAAAGCTTAAGAATTGACTATTTTGGGTTTGGTTTTGTTTTTATTCAGGTTTGGAAGGTTTACAGTTGCTGCTCTGCAGTCCAAAGTGGAACAGTATGAACGTGAAACCAGTCGCCTCAAGAAGGCCCTGGAACGAAGTGATAAATATATAGAGGAACTGGAGTCTCAAGTTGCACAACTCAAAACTTCAGGCGAGGCGAAAGAAGCTGTGAATTCCATTTGCCAGAGAGCTCTTTCCACAGATGGCATGGGGAACAAAGGCAGTGAGGAGGATGTGGCATCAAAAGGCCAGGGTGATGGTGCCAGAAAGCAGCCTAGCTCACCCCACTTGTGTTCTCCTCACCTGGCAAAGCCTTGCAGCAGCAGACTCTCTGATACCAGTTCTGCCCGTCAAGAAAGTACCAGCAAAGCAGAATCAAATTGTTCCAACAAAGACCTTTATCAAAAAGAGGTAGAAATAATGTTAGATGTGACAGATACAAGTATGGATACTTATTTGGAAAGAGAGTGGGGTAATAAAACAAGTGAATGTGCTTCCTACAAAGATGAAGAACTTTATGATCTTCCAGCCCCTTGTACTCCTTTGTCTCTCAGTTGCCTTCAGCTCAGTACTCCAGAAAACAGAGAAAGTTCTGTTGTCAAAGCAGGGGCTTCCAAAAAGCACTCTAACCACCTCCGAAAACTAATGTTTGATGATTTTTGTGACTCTCCAGATAAAGATTCTTCAGAGGATGCTGTAAGTAGAAGTGAAAGTGAAAAGAAATCAGACTGTTTTCCTTCCTCAAAGATAGGATTTTGGGATTGTTCCTCTACAAGCTATGTCCAGAACTTGGGTTTTGAAAGCGCTAGGGGGAATACCACAGCAAACTCTGTTGAGGAAATTTCTTCAAAGCCAAATGAGAGGTCAGGCTCATGTTTATCTAAGAGATTGCATTCTATTCGCTCTTTTGAAATTAATCGGACAAGAACTTCCAGTGAAGCATCAATGGATGCTGCTTATCTTGACAAAATCTCTGAGTTGGATTCAATGATGTCGGAGTCAGACAATAGCAAGAGTCCCTGTAATAATGGGTTTAAGTCACTGGATTTGGATAGGTTATCAAAGTCATCACAAAGCAATGGATTTCTTGATGAACCTGATAAGGTGGAAGAAAGAACCAAGCGGAGCCTTTCCAAAGGTTCTCTAACCACTAATCACTTAGAAAATGGAAATGAGTGGAAATCCGCTTCTTTTTTTCTTCTTCCTCCGTCTGACCAAGAAATGAATGAAGATTTTTCACTTCATTCCAGTTCCGACCCAGGAACTAATGAACTCAAACCCCTAAGCTGTTTGTTTCAGACAGAGCTTTCCCAGGGTGCTTCGTTAAGCAGTTCACACCAGCTATTTGAAGATCAAAGGTTTGGGTCATCTCTGTTTAAGATGTCCTCAGAGATTCCTGGTCTTCATACTCATGCTTCTCTTCAGTCTCCATGGTCCTTTGTGCCTGAAAAGAGGAATAAAAATGTGAATCATTCAACAAAGAGAAAAATCCAGAGCAGCCTTTCCAATGCCAGTCCCTCAAAAGCTACTAAAAGTTGACTCATTAAAAAGATATCCTTTGTGTTTGTGTCATGGGAGGAATATAAAAGTTTCTAAAGTTCTTTTTTTTTGTTTTTTTGTTAGAAAAGTAATAGTTTAAATCCATCATTTTTAGCAAGTCAGAATGGTGCATTATCCTAAACCCAGAATACAGTTGTTCATTTTGAAAGGTGTTTGGTCTTTTGAATATGTTTTGAGTTTCTTTCTGATCAAGGAAAGTAGAAAGAAAGTTTATGCTTGTTTTTAAAGAATGTTACTTATGTCTGGGTTAGAGATAATTTGTTTTCTTTATTTGAACTTAACTACTAGACACAGTGGCCTGTTGATCAGCCATGGTTGTGTCACTTGGAGTGCTTGTCTACACACTGTTCAGAAAACACTTGAGTTTCTTTGACACTTTTCCTTGAGTGGATACTATTTTACCTACCCCTTTTATTTATGTTTGGTGACGGCCTTACTTTTATGCAAAACCATGATGAAAAAGTAGCACTCTAACTATAAGCATGTTCAGTCTTCATGTGTTTTTGCCTTTACATGGATGTTTACATTTGTTAAACATTTATGTTTTGTCTGATATTTGTAAAAACACTCTTTTAAAGCTAAGAAATATATTTTCTGTTTGAAAAGACTCGTTTTATGTGTGATAGGATGTTTGTTCATCTTTTCATATGTGTGGAAAATCAGAAATTGTGCCCAGTATGGGAAGGTGCTGTGAAGACATTAGATTTGGAAGAGCCTAAGCATGGTAACTTCGTTGTTCTGATGTACCAATAGCACTCTGCCAGGTTCTTGTCGATCTGCTGCTGTCCCAGGGGAGGTGTTTGGGAGTGAAGTTTTTGTTTGCATGTTGATCTTCTCTATGTAAACTCTGCATGCTTGGTAGCTTTCTTGCTTGCGCTTTTTCTGTATTTGAGAAAAGAAGTTTCAACCGACTCCTATAGTGTCTGTCTTGTAGAACACATTCTTTTCTTTTCTTTTTTTTTTTGTAGAACACATTCTTTTCTTTTCTTTTTTTTTTTTTTATGAAGAGTATGTGTCAGGGCGTCAAGATAGGTAAAAGCCAAGCACAATTTTTTATTAAGGCTCTTTAAAAGTTTATTATTATCCCAAACATGTTTTGTATATCTCTACAGGCCTTTCAAAAATGAGCTTGTATGGTAATGACTTGTTTAATGTGCACTGAGAATTTTACATTAATACTGTAACATTTTACACAATACTGCATACTTTTCCATCTGAATTGAATAAAAGATGTCAGAAGCACTATTTTATGTTGTTTCAAATATTAAATTGACCCATAAAGACACTATTTTTAATTGATCTTATGAAGACATTGGCAAACTCTAACCCCATGAACCAAATCTGACACACCACCTGCTTACTGTACATTTTTAAATGGTTAAAGAAACATTCAAAGAATACTATTTCATGACATTTTCACATTTCAGTGTTTCTAAATAAAGTCTTTTTTAAAAGAAATTTTTATGCTGTTAAGAATATACACAGTGAAACAGACACCAATTCAGCAGTTTTCTACAAAGAACATTTATTTCCTGACAGTAATGACTTACAGCTTCTATTATAGTCATCATACAATAGATTTCAACAAAATGATAAACCATAACGGTAACAAGTCACTTTTGTGACTTAGGTGGTTACTTCCTTTTAATATTGCTAGCCTAAGTTTTGCTTTTGTGTATGTGGAGTGTCTTTTCCAAGAATTATTTGTGTATTATTTTATCTTTCTAGTATGTTAAAGCTAATGAGTATTTCCAGAGGTGTTAGAAGCTCAAATGTCTTTGAATAGAAGGAAAGCTTCAAACTCACGGTGGTCTAGTTGGAACCAACTAATAGCTGACTAACTTTCTGCAGGTTTTCCAGCTTCTCCCTGGGAGCTGCTGGCAGATTCTAACCTCTAGAGGCCACTACTTTTGGGTTATCAGTAAAACTTCCTCGAGTCTTTGCCACCAGAGTGGTTATATGGTAGAAGCACAATTAAGATTAGAATTAAATTTGTTCTGAATAGTCGAAGGATCAAATCAGTAGTAAGACTTGCTCTTAGTCTTCCCATGCCGCCTCTTATCAAAAGTGTTTCCATTTTTAGCCCAAATATGTCACCATTGCAGTAGAAATCTGGAGTGTAGAACCTCGTTTACTGGTACCAAATCCTAGCAGCTACTCTTATTCCCAAGAAGTGTTTCTTATTTTAATCACACATTCTCATGTTTATTCTTTACCATAATTTGGTAAAATCTGACAAATTCGATCTTGTACTAACTTATACACATTCTTAAAATACCCCCCCCCAATAAAACCTTTCATTGAGAGCTATTATTTTGCAAATAAATCTATCTATGTCAGTAACCTTTCCAGACTTTATGACCTAAGTACTATTTCCAGTTTACAGATGAGGAAATTGAAGACAAGTATTTTCCACAATTGGAATATGAGTAGATCAGTATCTTACAGCTGGGGCTCTCATTCCTTAGCTGTGTTATTCTCCCATTCCTGGAATTCCACATTTGAAAACCAGTGGATGAATGGGTTATACATTTCCAATGACTGTTTTTAACAGTCATTGAGATAAGAGTTGTTTTAGACTTAACAAACCACCATATTTTAACATGACATCAAGGGAGGAGAATACCTATCGCTTCCACACAAGCTGCATTTGGCTTCAAATCACCAAAGATGTACGTTATCTATGTAACTCACTAAGGACCATATTGGAAAGATTAACATGTTTCTTTTTAGGTAGCATTTAATTCCTGCCTTTGTTCCTAGAATTAACTACCACCTATGAAGTTAGACTCAGTACTCAGAGTGGTTTGTATATCACATTTATGTAAAAATTCAACATTAACAGGAGCTTTAACCCTTTTTTAAATTGGGTTTTATTGTTGGAAAATACAGTTTACTTGGGTGTTACTATGTGAAGATATTTGATGATGTAGCTAATAAAAAATTATAAATAACATTGAGAATAATGGGAATAACAGAACAAGGGAACATTGCATGTTTTAAAATCAAGACAGACGTGCTTCAAGGTTGGGTTCTTTCTCCGTAATTATTCACAGTCTGTTGGCTGGGCAAAAAACTGTGGGAAGCTGATTGGAGGAAAACACATCAGTAACTTGAGTTATGCACATATCACAACTTTACAGAAACAGAAGATAACTTGAAACACCGCAGATCAAGAACTACAGACTTCAATATGGGTTAAATCCCAGTACTTAAAAACCAAAAATCTTCATTACTTGACCAATTGGAAACAATATTTTAAATAGGGAAATAATGATGTCGTCAAGTATTTAATTTTCTTTAGATCCACCATTAACACCCATGAGCAGCAATCAAAAGATTTGGGAAAAATCAGCTGTTCAGGACCTCTCCAGAGTGCTGAAATGTCAGTTTAAGGTGCCCCTGATCCAGATCAGTATTTTCAATTGCTTCATCAGTGTCTGGAAGTTGAACAATCAATAGGGATAACAGAAGTGAGAATTGATACTTTTGAACTGTACCATTGGCGAAGAGAGTACTAAATATCCCATGGACTGCCAAAAGAACAAATTATCTTCGAGGAAGTACAACCATCATAGTTCTTAGAGGCAAGGATAGGAAAATTTCATCTCATTCTTTGGACATGTTCTCAGTCAGGGCTAGTCCTCGGAAAGAGAGCTTCTGAGAGGTCAAAGACTCCGAGACCCTTAATAAGATTGAATGACACAGTGATTGTATTAATAGGCTCAAGTGTATCAGATCCTGAGGAGTACCAGGCTAGTGCAGGGTTCAGATCTGTTCTTCATAGTGTTGTTATGATTCGTAGTCAACTTGATGGCATCTAACAATAATAATCAGTTTATTAGAAACCCTTTTTTTAAAAAAAAGCCATAGTGGAAATGCTAATCTGGAAGTTCTCTGGTTTAAATTTCCAATAGCATCTACATTTCTATAAAGTTTCTAACCTTGGAAACTGTGTGATTTAGTTCTACTTGCCCTAGAAGGTCACTCAGCCAAAATTCTACTCAAGGGTAATGGATTTGATGAGGATAGAGATTGCTTATCTTACTAAAATTATATGGCTATATCATAGACTTCAAAAAAATTGTTTTTGTGTACCATCACATTGTATCTAACTGGCACAGGAGGAGATTGTCCCTCCTTATTGAGCAGAACATCTAGTGGTTTCAAACCGTGTGCCATTGTAATTGCAGCACAGCTTCTTGCCACTAGGACACCAGAGCTACCTTGCTAAACTTTTAAGATCTTCAGTATTTATCTTCTAAATCGGCACCCCATTTAAAAATGGCAATCTTTTTCCTTGTTTTGATAAAACTAAGACTAGCACTGGAAGAAGTAGATTTAAGATTTACATTCCCTTTGTGTTGTGATGCTGGAGAAAAGCATCATACTGCCAAGAGAACAAACAGATCTGTCCTGGAGAGGGTGAAACCAGGGTGCTCCTTGAAGGCAAGGATTTTGAGGCTCTGTCTCATACTTTGGGCACACAGCTAGGAGGTATTAGTCCTTGGAGGACATCAGGCTTGGAAAGGTGGAGGTACAGCACAGGAGAGGAAGACCCCAGATGGATTGACACAGTAACTGGGGTAATAAGGGTAGGTATGTCAGAGATAGATTGGCTCAAGATCAAGTCCAGAGCTGCTATTGTACATCAGGTCGCTATGAGAAGCAAGTGACTCAACAAGACATAACAACAGGGAGCCCTTATGTCATTCAAATTAACCAGCCCAGGGCAGCAGAAAGATGGTAAAAACTTTGGGAAGCCAATGGTGGATCACTTGAGTTGTGACCCTACCACTGCATTTCACTGCAATAGGTGAGATGGCAAATCAGCTTTGTTTTCCTTTTATCTTGGGTACATGTATAAACTGGTTCGAGAACAACTATTGGTACTAAGCAAGGAAGACACTGGTTTGGGATCATAAGATACTTCAGAAACTTTGTCTAGTGGTTTTCAATTCTTTAAAGTACAGTACTGGCTTATTTTTCTCACTTTTGTAGCCTGTTAGGGTACTTCTAGGGAGAAACAAATTGAGATTAACAATTGAATTTAAGGAACGTGGTCTTTTAGAAGGGTTTCCCAAAGCCTCCTATGGTGTTTCATTCTTATTTGTGCAGGCCTACAATGCAGTCTTTGCCTATCCAATGTAACTTGA